TCATTAAAAAAAATTAAGTTAAGATGGTTTAAAATTGACTAAATTCGGCATTGAATTTCTACTACCTGTGTGAAATTAAGCCATTTTGAAATTATAGCAGGGAAGCTTAGAGTTTTTCTTATATTCCCTATAAATTTTATCGCTTTAACTTTATTATTGTAAAATACACATCTTTTTGAATTAGGCAGTGCTTTTTAAATTTTTTTTGAAAAAATTTAAATATATCAAAAACAGTTAACTTTAAGAATAGGAAACCTTTATGAAAGTTCACCTAAAAATTGACGTAGAATTCAAAATAATATACAGGGTGTCCCATTTAAAGTAACGAAAATGACGTCAACTTCCGGTATAACCGGAAGAGTTAGGTGGACGCCTTTATTTTAGCTGAGAAGGCCATGCCCGAAAATACTATTGCCCACATTTTCAAAATTAAAATCGAAGTAGTCTCTGAAATTTGTCTAATATCTCGTCACCGTGGGACACCTTGCATTTAGTGACTATTGTTTTATTTTGATTGTACAGACAGTGAAAGTTTTCTTATAAAAAAGATTCTTATAGTTTATCACAAACTGATAATCCGTCAAGAGTGTTTATGGCACAAGAAAAGTGATTTCTTATTAGTGTTAGGTAAATAACGGTAATTCTGAAAAACCCTAAAACAAATAGTCATCTTATCAAAAAGATAAACACTTAAAATATATACAATTACGGATTTTGATGAGGTACACATATTCTACTAACCTTACATGTATGTACAACATTCAATTGTTAGTCAAATAGAATATCTCTTATTAAACATGAAAAGTAATAAACATAGTTAAACGATATTATAGCAATAATAAATTAAAGAAAACGACACACTTATTAGTATCCTATGACTAAAAAAATAACCGATACTTTTCCTTTTTAAAGAAACTACATTCCAAATTATTAATTTTAATTTCATTTTTTCATATGGAGCTTCGTTAAATATAATCTATTTCTTTAGCATCATCATTCATTAGTAATACTAGAGTTTTCTGAAGTTATGTCAAACGGTATATAAATATAAATTCATCAAAACTTTGATGAATCGCTCATTGTAAACCATTTCATAAAAACACATGTTTCTAGTGAAAGATTTATTTCTTTATTTCAACTCTAGACTGTGGTAAACTTTTCATATCCTCCTCGTATTTTTAAGAACTCATGTAGTATCCATTTGCTATTGGATTACAATACTTTAAGTGTATATTAACTTTTCAAAAAGAAACGTGGGTACCGATTTTATTTAATGAATTCAGGTTAATTGGATAAAACAAAAACTATTTATCACACCGACTACTCCTATTATTCGTTTTACTCCGTACATAAATTATCTTCTTGCTACTCTGTCGGAGACAAGTGGAACAATGTACGTTGCAACAGGAATTACGACACAATGCCCTTAATTTTGGTAAGTAGCTGTTAATCCGAAATGTAGCTGAGAGCCAATTTCCATAGTTAGATACTAACTGGTCAAGTCGGGTGTTCAATGTAATTATAAACGAAGTCGGACAAAGCCCTACAGCCAAGGAATTTTCATCTACTACTTAATTAGTCCAGAATTATCACATGAAGTAGAATATAATGCGTCTACGTATTTCATTAAAATATCTAAAAATTTCACGTTTTAATTAAGAATACGTCTTTTAAAAATGATTTTTTTAAATTTTGTGATAAAGATTGTCTTTATTACAAAATTTAAAAAATCGTGTTTTATATACAGGGTGATTCACAAATGGTGACCGAAAATGAAACCTCGTATTCTTTGGTGAATTTTAAAGGGTCTTTCCTATAAAGCTTTTATCTAGGACGCTTCGTTAAAAAGATACAGGGTGTTCAACTTCAAAAAATTTATATATTTTTTAAATAATTTAAAAACTAGTAGGTAAGTGAAGTGATTTGAAATTGGGCACATTTATTTATGTAAACATTGTTCAAAATCTGAGGGCTTTTCCTAAAATTTATATACTCCAGTGGCGGAGATATAGGGTATCGGTGACATATTTTTCTAAATAAAATAGTAGTAGGTACGCCAGTGCTTTACAGCAACAGCCATAATATTTTTGGATTCGTATTTAAATTTTCTACAAATTACTAACTCTTATGTTTTTCGAAAAAAGCCTGATTTTTGAGTAAAACTTAAAAAACAACTGAAAACACTTAAATCACATGACATGACATGACTAATCATTCAGTTATTTATTCGAATAAAGAAATTAATAACACTAGTCATCATTTTAATGATTTTATTTGAGTAAATGCTCAAACATACCTCTATTTCTACGAAAACAGACGAAAATGTAATTTGTTCGAAATTTATTGTAGCTTGAATCTTATGAAAAGCATTATCCTTTCTTCTAACTGCTCAGAATGTCAATGTTGCTATCGCAACCTACTATGTAATTTTAAACCGCTTTTTATTAAAATATCGAAGTGTGTTTTCAGTTCGTTTTTTAAGTTTTACTCGCTTTACTCGCGGCTTTTTTCGAAAAACATAAGAGAGTAGTAATTTGTAGAAAATTGAAAGACGAATCCGAAAATATCTTGGTTGTTACCGTAAAGCAGAGGAGTATTATTTTAGTTATAAAAATATGCCACCTATAACCTGTATCTCCGCTACTCGAGCATGTAAATTTTAGAAAAAGCCCTCAGAGTTTGGACAATGTTTACATAAATACATGTGCCCAATTTTATTATTTTATTTACTAGTTTTTAAATTATTTCAAAAAATTAAAAACATTTTTTGAAGTTTAACGCCCTGTATCTTTTTAACGAAGCGTCCTAGATAAAGACTCCCCTTAAAATGCACCAAAGAATACGAGGTTTCCTTGTTGGTCACCATTTGTGAATCACTCTGTATACATGTACTTTTATAGGAACCTGAGAATTTCAGTCTGATATATTCCCGCAAAATTAATGGTTTATACAAAGAGAATATCGATAAGAATTTTTTTCTTAAACGCTTAGGGATTTTTCAGAAAATTAAATCTTATGTTACAATGAATGTTAAAAGTCTCCATATGTATGTACATAAATATTTCTTAAAGTTATTTCCGCAGTATATGTCGGTATAAAATCGAGACTGTAACATTGTGAACGATACAAGTTCTCTTTGTTACAGTATTCATTTTCGTGTACCTACTTGCTATCGAATATATGTACTAGTTACTGATTGTAAGTGTAATCTTAATTTTTTTATTTTTCTGCTAAAAAAATGTGCCAACTATCAATCATGTATGATTGAAACTAAAGCTAATTTCAACAACGTCAAGACTTTCTTGCTACAATTTTATTTTCAGAAATTATTTTCTCCTGCAAGGGGGTTTATTATAACCCCATGTTATGTGCCCATTAATTTTCAACATTTTGTGTTGCTAAATCCCCTGGCTGGACAACTTTATTTGAACTTTTTCGAAAATGATTAGTTATTGATAAGTAATGTGGTATTTATGAGACTCCACCCTAGTTATCTCTGGCTACAGAAGAGTACTTAAGAGCTGAATTTCCTGATAGGCGAATAGAATGTGTTGATCTCTATGACCTTCTCATTCTTCGGGCCTAAATCCCTTAGACTTTTACTTCTAGGGATATTTTAAAATAAATATGACGGAGTTTACAACGATACTGAAGATATAACTTGGGTTTGAAATGGTAACGCAGACTACCAGATAACGATGGGACGTTTTTGTAAATATGGGTAAATTTTTAATTCGATTATAGATAATGTTCGACATAATATCTTGACGAGGGAAGTGGCAAGGTGAAACACTCTTACTGCGATGTTTCATGTGAGAGTACGATGTGTCATTCCCTCTCGACTTTCAGTATGTTCACACTGCTTATTGCTAAGTAATGTATTCGTTTACTTTTAACAATTGCGAGTACTCTGCATTCAATACGAATACTGAAGGATACGAATACAACATATTTAATATTCATAAACTTTTATGTATTCTGAATACAGAAATCATTAGGCACATAAACAATGATAATAATGTATTCGTTAACCAGTATTTCATTACTTTCTTCACAAGTCTGCAGGGTGGAAGTTATTAAAGAGAGAATTTATGATAACTTGCTCTTTTTGAGACATTATTAATTTTAATTAGAGAAATATACAGGAAAGTAGCCAAACTCACTTCAATTTACAGGAGTTTTTGTTCATAAATACAATTAATTAAATTCAACAATTAAGACATATTTCTTCAAGATCTTTTGTAAAATTTATCCAATTTTTAACGTCTTTGGAAACTTTTATTTATAAGGAATAATTTTTTCTTTAAAACCTTTGCAAATGCATTTGCATTTTAGGAAAGCAGATGTGTAAATTGTACCAGTGAGTAACCTATATTATACAGCCATCGACATGCATGAAAAACTGAAATAAAGAGTATGGAAGAACGATTTTTTTCTTTTACCGTTTTGATACATTAATGAAGTAAATTTGCTGCTGATAATTCCTTTATTTGTTGAATCAATGAATAAAAGGAGTTAATGTGTTTAGAACTGGGCTAGAAAAATTATTAAATTATTAAATTCATGTTCCTATATCTTTTGTTTATATGAATATTTTTGGTCTTTCTTTATGAGTTTCGTAAAATCATTTTTATTTTTTAATAACAAAAGTAATAAAGGTCAATTTAAGTTTTTAAAATTGAAGCAAAGAATGTTAACTTCTTTTACTCTTTGTTTAGATCCATCATTTTCATTCTAATTTGAATATGTTCCAACAAAGTTTTTGAGGATAACTTATTGACTTCTTTTGTTTCTTTTTTCCTTTCAACTTTAATAAACATGTATAGGCATTATGTACATAATAATATTCCTTTATGAAAATAAAATGGAAACATCAGATCTGCCGCGTGTTTAAAGAAGTAGTTTAAAACTGGGTTGCTGTCAAAATAAATATGAAACGCCAATATAAGAGTTCCCTACGAACTCCATATAATATTAAAATATTCAAATATAAAATTCACCTGAGGTATTTTGAAGAGGCGTAGGAGATTAGCAACTTGAATGGAAGTGACGCTGGAGGCAGCTCCTACAACTCCAGATATAACCTTCCTCACTTGTGTCTTGTTACAGTGATACTCGGCCCCATCGATGTTGCTGATGGAACCTGAAATTGGATATGCAAACATTTACAAACATTGTTGATTTTTCTATCAGACTTTAAGAGTAATTTTTTTGGTTTATACCGTAAGAAGTAAAAAAGCTTGCAGCAAATTTAAAAAAACATGTTTAAGTTTAAATAAAGTTGATGCGGGCAATTGTCTACATAGTTAGAAACTTCAAAACTTGGCAAATAGTTCTGTTCGTCTTTAACAATCTGGCGGGAAATTTTATATACATAAAAACTATAATGCAAAAGTAACCATATTTAACAATTTAATGCTGCTTAGTTTAGCCCTTGCTTTATAACAGTTTGCAGATTAATTAGTTTTTAATGAAGTTTATTTAAAACCAAGTGTATTCCTTGAGTGCAAGAATTTATTGAGAAACTTTGTACTATACTTGATCATAAAACGTTTTGGATTCTCATTTACTGCAGTTCTAGGAGTTTTATTATTAATGTCAAATTAACTTAATGGTTTGGTTTTAAGACTTCGATTGAATATTTGAAATATTCAAGTAACTATAAAACATCAAAAAATAATTATAGTTATTTTTATTTACAAATCAATAGCTGCTTAACGTTTGTTACTTATTCTCATTAGAGAGTACATTTTAAAATTTAACATTCTATTTCCCTTGTCATTATTGGTTTTTTATTTAGAAAGAATTTATATCGACCAAAGTTGCAGGAAATTTTCTTGTGATTTCAAAATTGTACGTTCAAAAGCAATTGAATGTTGCATTTTGTACAAATTTATTAAACCAATGTTTTATTTAAATAAAGCCCACTATACATTTTTACATATTCGGATTGAACGCTTTTTCAGGATTACAGATAACTAGTTGAATAGATTTATACAGGGTGATCCCGAGGTAATGGGCCAAAATTCATGGGCAGATCCCCAATTAAAAGTGTTGCGATTTAGTCGAACTTACCTTAGTCCAAAACTTGATAGTTAAAGAGATACAGGGCGTTAAATGTAAAATATTTCAGTTTTTTTATTATTCCTTAACAAATGCAAATATCCTCACAACATTTCTGGGTGTGGAGTTCTTTGGGTAGAGGAATTGAAATCTGTTCACATTTTGGTTTCATAAAGGGCGCTAGCTGCAGTAGATTGAATGTGTTAAAAACGACATAACTTTTTTGTACTTTAAGGTATCTCATTTTTGGTATAAAATTCTTATTTTCCAACTTTTTTTACACAAAAAAGCTATACTTTATAAAAGTAGCTATCTCGCACTGTTTTCGAGATATTTGGCTTTGAAACTTCCAATGCTGTTGCAATAAATTACAATTAAATATTAATTTAGCTGTAAAGTTTCTTAAGTAGGATTTGAACAAAAATCAAATAATTTACGTTTTGCACTTGTCTTAATAATGTCATTTGTATGCTAATTTCTATTAAGTATTTTTCGTACCTAATTAAAATTACATTTTAGTTTACAATTTAAATTGTATACTCGTATACATAACTGTGAGATAGAATGCCGAGATTTTCATCTTTGGAGTTACATGAAATCAGTTGTTTATGGAGAAACTATAAACACGTGAGAAGAACTTTAGCAGCAGGTTTTAAATGCTGAAAAGTCATTGCGCGTTAAGGATTTATACTTTAAACTAAGACAATCTTTTAATAAGCGCGTTGATAAATGTATTGAAGTTAGAGGTGGACATTTTGAACAATTACTGTCAAAAACGCATATTTTTTTACTAATGTTTACTATTTTACTGTTCATTACAATTTTTAATTCTAAATAAATCCTTGTTTTTGACATTTTAAAATTATTTTAATTATTTTAACTATTAGCATTGGAAGTTACAAAGCCAAATATCTCGGAAACAGTGCGAGACAGCTACTTTCATAAAGTTTACCTTTCTTGTGTAAAAATAAGTGTGGAAAAATAAGAATTTGATACCAAAGATGAGATACCTTAAAGTACAAAAAGTTATGTCGTTTTCAACACATTCAATCTACGACAACGGGCGCCCTCTATGAAGTATAACCAAAAATGTGGACAAATTTCAAAGAACCCCAAACCCCAAAATTTTGTGTAGATATTTGTATTTAGGTATTAAGAAATAAATGGAAATAAACTAAAATAATGTTTTACATTTAACACCCTGTATCTCTTTAACTATCAACTTTTGGACTAAGCTAAGTTCGGCTAAATCGCAATATTTTTGCTGCCGGAATCTACCCATGAATTTCGGTCCATTACCTCGGGACCATCCTATATATGCTCACTTTACAGACTTTTTTGACCAACTCTCTCATATTTTTATGTATTATTTTATTAATCGATTTATCATAGTATTTTGTGCTGATTTGCTTTGACATCCTTTCTGCCACTGCTCTAGAAAGATTTTTTTTGTTACTGTACTGATATATAAACTGGTATAACAAAATGTTTCACTACAAAGACGATTTTTAACGACCAATCATTTTCTCAAATCTGAGTATGTAACAAGCCTGTGACAATGCTTATACTTATACTATATTATAATTCGCTTATTAGCCTCCTTTTTAGGTACTATTTATAAATTTTGCGATGTGAAATACAAAAACAGAAACTATTCAGACCTACTGCGAAGCATGAAATCACAACTACAGAGATACAATGAATGTGACGTTAAGTTCTGTGTGTGAGGTTTTAACTATGAAATGTTTGTAGTCTCTCACATGTCTGTGTATTGTTAAAGATGAAGGCTTGTGGAAAATTAGAATATTCCTTCTTAGTAGCTGTTACACAAAGTCTTCTTTCTGGTTTTAGGTAAACTAAAATTTAAAACGTACCAATAAAATGTTGTCATTTTTCTAATGAAAAAATTTAGTTGTGTTGCATATAAATAAATTTTGGAAAATGCTTAAAATAATTATACTTTACATTTAATCTGCAATTTGATTTTAAATACCTATTCAACATGGTGCCAAACTGAAACGTGAAATAGGAGATGTCACTTAGGGTTTGCAATCCCGCAGTCTTTTTTTTCCAGCTGGAAATTTGCGGTAAATTCGCCTTTAAAAATATATTTATATATGAAAATAATGATGCTATTATTGTGGAATGTTTATATTTAATCAAATGAAATATATATAATTCTTGGTATTTAAAAATCAACAGATAAGCATTACATAGATTAAAAACTATGTTTATTAACTAAGAGTCAACAGAAATCAACACATCAATAATATAATACTTTTGTTATTTTTACATAGATATTATTATGTCTCTAGTTACTTAACGTACTTGTTACTGTTAAATTACTAAATTTATAAACATCTAGGTTAGGTTAGTAATTTAATCGTAGTAACAATTTCAAAAAATATTTGCTAGATACATCGATAATATACTTCGGAATATGACAGTTTAGAGAAAATTGCAAAGAGATATTAGGCATACTTCATTTGGCTGTCCTTAATTTACTAATTAAGGTAATAACTTGATTTTTTCAGTAACGGCAAACGAAAAACAAATATATTTTAATGTATTTGAAGAATGTTAGAAAACATTGCAATTTCAATAAAAACAGCGTTGAAAATGTTGTTTTGTCTTAATATATGTAAAATTTTGCTAGGTAAAAATGCCGTATGTGCAGTATGTGCTACATTTTCAACAGAAATTAATAGAAGAACCAAAACATGTACATCCTATACATGATATTTTGGATGTTCTTGCAGGGTTTTTAACTAATTTTTAATATATTGTCTTGCAAATAATATTTAATTGTTGTTTCATTTAAAACAACGCATGTAAACACATACGAATTTAATTTGTTAAAAACATCGTATTTCAACGCTTCTGCTAGAGAAGAAAGCCGTATGTGATCACATGCGGCGTTTATACTATGTACCTCTTAATGAAATACATGTACATAAGTCTGCTAAGTGACAATAATAGAAATTTAAAATGTATGTATAATGCGATATAGATTTCAAATATGTAATTTTCTCAAAACTGCATACCTATACGGTCTTATTCCGAAGTAGGGCAGTATAGTATAATTAAAGTAACATACAAGAAGACAAAACTATTAGTTACATATAAAATTTTACTTTGTAAACACTTTTTTTCTCGAAAATAAACAAACGAATCAAGGATTTGTTTGAATGATGCAAAGATCTGCCGATTTTAATCATTTCTTTCGCTCGATTGATCGATGCTATCACAGGGGAACGGGATGCGTACGCAAACCAAACGGGGCGCTCGCGCGCGCCATGCGCTATGTCGCTAAACAGACGTGTTCTATTCAAAAATTTCCCGCGCGGGAATTACCGCACAAATGCGGGAATTCCGCAGGTCTCATTGACATGCGGGAAATTGCTGGAATGCTGTAACGCGGAATGCGGGATTGCAAACCCTAATGTCACTTTAAATAAAAATATTTTTATGAACATGAGTTTGAAATGATTATTAAAAATGTTGCAGAATGATAAAGATGCTATGTCAAAGATATATTTTTCTCGGTATTGGTCTTCAGATCATTGCAACTGCAGTAATCTTATGAAACATAATTTTTCCTAATTTACAGTGGTGGAGATGCTGGTTATTAAGGTTCTTCTTTCATATTAAAGAAGATCTGTGAGGTTTTGTATAAAATAATTCATTGTTCTGAAAGTTAGTCTTAAAATACGTAAAAAACAATTGTTTCATCTCGATAATCTATCTTCATCATAATGCTTTAATGCCACAGATTCCGAAAATAAATGTGCTGCAGATTGCTATTGTTGAGATTATAAACCAACTAAAATTAAAACAAATCCAATCCTGTTACCAAAATTTTCAATTAGTTTATAAATTTGAGAAGGCCTTAAATGCCATAATCATAGACAAGCAAAGATTTCCATCATTCATTTCCTTACAAACACTTTCTTATTTTATTTGGTATAATGTCAGTAGAATTTGAAATAGTCCTGTAGCCAGGGGGGTCCCAGGGCCTCCTTACAAAAAAGTTATAACATGATAAAGGTGCACTGCCAAAATCACATTTTTTAATTTTAAAATGTATGTTAATGAGAAATAT